GAGGAAACGCACAGGTGCGGTCCCGCAGGCGCGGAAAAAGAGCTCGCAGGTGCGAAAAACCTAGGCAGAAACCATAAATAGAACCCTTCGCGAATTTGGTTCATTTCCACCATTTTCAAGTTGGTTTGTGGAGCTTTTGGAGTGATTTTTGAAGGGTGATTCAAGGGCTATCAGTGAGGTGAGTTGCTTGAGCCCTAATACTTGTATATATGGTGATTTTTCATTGTTTAGTCATTGTAATTAGTGAAAATGAGGGGTTAGGGCTTGGGAGTTTAGAAGAAGTAATTTAAGGATTTGAAGCACCAAACGATATCGGATTTTGATGAATTTGGTATGGTTAGACTCGTGAGTAAATGCGCTTTATAGTTTTGTAAATTTTGTCGGATTTCGTGACGTGGGCACGGGGGCCGGGTTTGAGCCAATTTCGGATTTTGGTCTAATTTGATAGTTTTTCATGTGGAATTCATTCCATTAGCGTATATTGATAGAATTGTACTGATTGTGAATAGATCTGGAGCATTTGGAGGCCGAGTCCAGAGGCAAGAGCATTGTGGGGTAGAGATTTGACCGGTTTGAGGTAAGTAACGATTGTAAATCTAGTCCTGATGGTATAAAATTCCGAATTTTGTATCATTCTACTATTTTTAGTGACGCACATGCTAGGTGACGGTTTTGTGGGCGTGCACTGTTGGGGATTTGTGACTTGGTCCATCCCGTAGCAACTGTAAAGTTGCATACTTGTTGAAACCATATGATATTTATATGTTTTAGAAAGTATTTCTGTAAATTGGGTTAAATGCCATATTTGGGCCTTGCGCCAATGTTGTTTGGACCCTTACGGGCTGTTTCTTACCATCCTCTCATTGTTTTCGATTGAAAATCTATACTCAGTCATGTTTGTATTTGTTTACCGCATAACTCAGTTTTATGACTCTATTTTGATGCATATAAATATTTTGGGCCGAATACCCTTGAATTACTGAAATGCCCAAGTGGCTTGAGAGGTTTATGACTGAGTGAGACCGAGGGCCTGATTTGTGAGGATGAGTGTGGATCGGGGCTGCCCGCCTACAACATACTTTATTATTATAGCACGTGAGTTGTCCGTGCAGATTATAGCGCTTGGGCTGAAGGAGCCCCTCCGGAGTCTGTACACACCCCCAGTGAGCGCAGGTACCTACTGAGTGCGAGTGCCGAGTGCCGAGTGCCGAGTGCTGAGTGACTGGGATGCATGAGTGACTGTGAGGTATGCCCGAGTGGCAAGAGTGATTGTGAGGTATGCCCGAGTGGCAAGAGTGATTGTGAGGTATGCCCGAGTGGCACGAGTGACTGCGAGGTTTGCCCGATGGGCTGTATATGAGTGATGTTTTGCCCGAGAGGCTGTTTATGATTTCATCATTTTTGCTCACATTTATATTTTTCCTCTGTTTGAAAACTATTGAAAAATATTTTTAAATGATTTTTACTGGAACTGGGTTTAAACGAAATATTTTGATTCAAATCCTGATTTTAAAGCATGTGGTATTTTACTGAGATTTCCTGATATGAACGTTATATGCTTTATTGCTCGTCACTACTGCTCAGTCTTTATTTATTGTTGTTACTTACTGAGTTGGCGTACTCACGTTACTCCCTGCACCTTGTGTGCAGATCCAGGTGTAGCTCGACACGGTAGCAGTTGTTGATTATTTTGGTTGCAGATTTTTTCGGGGATAGCAAGGTAGCTGCTTGGCGACCGCAGCCCCTGCTCTTCTCCCTCTTATCTTCCTCTAGTTGTATTTAGCTATTTTCCAGGCTGAGTTAGCCTTGATATTGTTAGACAGATTGTAGTAGATGCTCATGACTAGTGATACCCCGATGTCGGACTTTTTCTTCCACACTTTTATTTTAATTTGAACTCGTTTACTAAGGGTTTTATGTTAAATAACGTTGAAATTTTCTTTGAAATGAAAATATCGGTTTGTTTTGGAAATGAGTCGGCTTGCATAGTTTCACGATAGGCGCCATCACGACAGGGGTTAGTTTGGGTCGTGACAATTTCGATCTTCATGCTCCATACTCCGCCATTGAGCTCGAACCTAGTCTATTACGAGCTTATTCTCGAGGCAGCTCCTCGTGCCTATGAAATCTGACATGCCCGATTTCGATCGTATTCAATAATGTTAGACCAATCTGATTGGGAAAAGGAAACCTCCTATTAAGCTGCTGACCTAACACTTCAAATTTATTCCAAAAGGCAGAGATTAAAGAGGCGCTAAGAAAATACTGCCACAAAAGAGGAAGAAGGAGAGGAAAAGTTACTTTCCCTTTAAAGAATTGGGATTGTCCAAGACTTTGAATTGGATCACTCCCCTACCAATTTCGGTGAAGCGATTATCAATTTCCGGTCTGCTTTATCTTTATCGTCAATTTGCTATCGCCAACCTATTACTTTCTCTTTAGAGGAAAAGTTAATAAACTGATAGGACAGAAGAATATAACTTTACTGTTTGACCTTTTCTTTGGCTTTTAACTTAAACAAGTTGACTGAGATAAATCATAAGTATTCTAAACTCCTTTAACGTCAACAGGATGAATTGCTTTTTCCTATTAATTGAAAAGGGATCAAATAATGTCAAATAAGAGAAGACCAAACAAATATACAAAAGAAATAATCCACAACTTCTTGCTTTTCCTAATTTCTCCTCATTTTCTCTCTTTTAATTTGGATAAATTCTTTTTTGTAACTCCCAAAAAGCTTTCACAAATTCTCTCGTAATTACCCTTCCTAGTAGGCGACATTACGCCCTTTAGTATTCTCGTTAAAATTGAGTTAAACTAATGTTTCGGCAGTTAACTTGTGAATTTACCGGGAATTAAAAAGCATTCCGTTACCGGGAATCGAACCCGGGTCTCCTGGGTGAAAGCCAGATATCCTAACCGCTGGACGATAACGGAATTGTTATTCAGCTTGTCCGATTTATTTATACCACTTACCAATAATATTTGGTTAACAGTTGCTCATTGATAACCAATTCTGCACATGGAATAGCATCAGTCAAAACTTATTTTACGAAGTATTGAAGATGGAGTTGTAAACCAGCCATATATTCAAGCGAGCTTGAGTTCGAGCTTCAATTTGTTCGTAAAACCAATTGACATCGAAATGTTTATAAACTTGCTCACGTTTTCATTTACACTCATAGTTTTTGAAATTATTCTCTTTACAAACAAAATAACAGTTTTCCTATTGAATTATACTTGGGAGTTTTCATAATAGTTTAATTTGAAAAATGAGAGAACAGTACATGCTGTTTTTGAAACAAATTCGAATTGTTTAGAGGGTTTTGATTGAATTACCTAATCATATATTTGAACTTTCCGTGGAATTGATTACCAAGCAGATATATAACTGACTTGTGAATTATGATTATGCTGTATAAACAGTGTCATTTTTATGCCATTCAGCTTTCCCAGGGAGAGAAGCATAATACATCCATTGTGATGCATTAATTCTCCAACTTTAAACATGGTACGAAAGCAGTCCATTGGATAACAAAAACTGGATCCATATTCTTTTAATTGTTCCAACCAAAACCTCTTTTGTCGTATACAATGATGTAACATGAGAAAAAGGAAATCCAAAAGAAAGAGCAGATAAAAAAAGAGATGCATCATTTACAGATGTCAGAACCTAGTTAAAAGAATGGTCCCACATTAACACATCTGTTAACAACATGGGCTAAGGTTCCAATAGACATGGATGGTATCATTTGACTGTTGAAAAGGACTCCTCATTTTTGGGTTTTCTCCTTTTCAATCAATATATAATTGGAATAGAAGAAACAACACATAAATGTCAAATGACTTTTACTTTGACTGCAAATTTCCAGCATTTTCTAAATACTTTGAATAATAAAAGATTCACAATTCCTTTAAATTAGCTTTTAACATTCAAACTATGTTTTAAATTTTATGTAAAATTAAGATGTGTATCTTTTCACAACAAGAGCACCATACTTTCGAACAAAGTAGTACGTCAAAATGCAATAAGAGAAGGCATCAAGCTTCACTATCAAGGAACACAAGTACTAATAATATGGATCGCAGAAAAAGGAAAAAGAAAATAGTAGCATGTTTGGTCAAAATATTTTTTGTCAAAAGTATTTTTTTTTTCAAGTTAATGTGTTTAGTCAAGTTTTTAGAAGTAAAAAAAAAATACTTTTGAGAAGGTTAAAAAAAATACTTTTGAGAAGGTTAAAGCAGAAGTAATTTTTGAGAAGGTTAAAAAAAAATTTCTTCCAAAAATATATTTTTTAAAAAAATATTTTTAAGAAAATATACTTGAAAACACTTTTAAAAACTTGATCAAATTCTAATTATTGCTCAAAAATACTTTTTAACTTAATTAGTCAAATACAAATTATTTCATACTATAAAAAAATAATTTTTAAAATAAACCTACTTTAAAAGCTTGGCCACACACGTAATAATACTCCAAGCAAACTTTTGGGTCCTAAATTAGTGACAATTGATGGCACATCAGATCAAAGAAAATTAATGAACGTTATTTCCCAACAAAAGAAGCCAGTTCAATCTCCTCCCCCACAAACAAATGATTCGCCAACTTTTTACTGTGTGATGCTACTTAACACACTCTATTTCAGCCAACCTATAACACTACAGACAGTACGACATAACACGAGGTCTCGTCTTCTCCCAACCACTCACTTTACTTTATTTTTGTATCCCATATTCAAAATTAATAAAAATGCTTTCTACTAAGTAGAATATTTTTCTTCAAACTCGAAAGCTTAAGTTAAGTACGAAGAAATAAAAAATCTATTGTGATAAGCTACTCGAAACTACTTTAAAATAAAAACTAGGTAGGCACAGATAAAAGGTCATGCCTACTTTAGAAAACTAGAGGTAGTTGGAAGAAATGAATGCAGAGGGACAGAAATGGTCCAAACTACAAGCGCCAAATATGATATGGAGAGGACTCACAAAAGAGGGAAATAAAAATTCCAGCTTGTTTGCTGGTGCTATTTTTCATTGCCATAAAAGACTAAACCGTCTTCCCATTTGAATTGCCCTATACTTTCCTTAAATCCCAACCTATTTCTCCTTTTTAGGGGGAGAGAGAGATATTCATCGGCCGGCCCACAAGGCCACAATCAAATAACAGTTGATTTTACAAAAAGGGCAAATGGGAAGAGTAGCAGAAATAGTTTTTAATAGTAGTAGCAATAGGGTAGAATTAGCACTTGACAATTAAGTCTTCTAAAATTTACTAAAGTAGTAGACTTTTTCTCAAACTTCCTCTGAGGTTTCTCAAAATGGAGCTGTTGACGTCCGATAGAGAGACTTCTTTTTGGGAACTTGAACAGCTGCTTCTAAGCGTAACTGGCCATATGAAAGAGAACAACAAGTTAAAATGATGAGTCTGTTATATTTCTGTTTTCTAATTAAAGAAATCACTAGTTGTAAACATAATGAATAATGTCAGTAAATGTAAAGCAAATCATGGTAAAAATAAAGGACCTGTTGCTGCTGTTTCTTGAGCCTCGCATTTTCTTCTAATAAATGGGCAACTTCCAGTTCCAACTCGTTCATATAAGCCTGCAAGTATGGAGAAAGATCGAATGAGACAAAAATAAGAGAGAAAACTCAAACTTATTTTCAAAACCAAGAAGACATGTATAAAGAAAAGGAGGAGCAAAGATTTAAGAATAACTAGATTCATCCACGTGCAATGTACAAAATGTTCATGCCCTTGAATGTTTTTTTTTTATATGTAATGTCCTCTTCTGTTTTTTATTATTATTATAAAGGGACAATGCCCATCTTTAGTCGAATGAACATAGTGTATTGCTAAGAATCGGCAACGCAACAGAAAACATTTTTAAAACAACATATGATTAAAAGAAAATGCTAGCTACTTTCCTGCTTTCTAGCCCTTGATCTAGCAGCAGACTCACGGTTCTTGATCATCCTTTTATTTCTCCTGTCCCCTGCAGAATTATTCTCCATTTCAGGAATCCTTTTTCTTCCATTAGCAGCTGAAGAAGCCAAGCCCTCAAATGGGACTTGAGAAATAGGTGTTGGTGGGCGCAACATTGAGTTTTGACTAAAGAAATGAAGCTCTGGAACTGAGTTCAAATTCAGCATAGTAGTAGCCGGAACAGGAGAAGCTGCTGGTGGTGGTTGAGGGTCAGTAGCAAAAGGCCGAGCTAAAAAATCTTGTAAAATCATGCCACCAAAATTAGCAGTTTGATGATGATCATGATCTCTAGAGTAAGTAGTAGTATGGTCTTGAAGTGAAGAAAGATTAATGTCTTTCCAAACTTCTTCCATGGTTTTAAGTCTTGGATTTAGGTGATGATTTGAAGGAGAAAATGGAGAACGAGATGAAGAAGAAGTAGTAGAAGATGATGATTTGGAAGAAGAAGAAGATGAAATGCCCCTGCTGCTACTGGTTGATGACCACATTTTTGGAGAAGCAGAGAAGAAAGAGTAAAAAGGGGAAAACTTTATTGAGAAAACGAATTTAGAATGTACTCTTAACTTCTGGCTACTACTTTCTTTCTAGTACTAGCACTAACAATAAAAAGAGACACAAAAATTCCTCACAACCAACTAGCCCTTAGACGCAATCTCGACGGAGGGGAGGCAAATACAAGTCACAAAATGGTGATGTCTGCTTTTGTATTGTCATGTCGAAATGGTACGATAATCCACGCGCCTAAATATGTAACGCTTTGGCGGTGAGAGTACTAACATTTCTCTAAAGTCACCTTAAAAGTACCAAGTTGGGAGAAGAAGAGAAGAGGATGAAGAATGAAGCCACTGAAATCATCTAAATAAAGCCATTTGATTTGAACTGGTAATACGGTTGGGAAGAAAAAAAGAGGACTCGTCTTAATTTAGTAAAATTTATTTCCTTGTTTTACGAAATGCAACAACCTAGCTAGTGAACTACTTCCAGGATTACTAAGTGGCTATATCAATCATAATTCATTAAAGTCACGTCATAAGAATTTGGGTTGAAGTTATTGTTAAATATGAATTTGTTAGAAAAAGTAGTTATAACACAAACACATTTCAACACTTAGGGTTGTTTGGTACGAGGTATAAGTAGATATAATGTTGGTATAAAATTTTAATATCACCTTAATACTTTGTTTGGTTAGTAAATCTGGTATAAGTTATCCCGAGATTAAAATTAGTATCGGGATAATTTATACATTGTAGGGGGTGGGGTAATTAATGTCGGGATAACTTATACCTTCTTCTTAGAAATTATGCAATTATCATTTTAATACAACATACTAAAACAGTAGATAAAAAATAATACCAGGATAACTAATCTCAGCATAACTAATCCCAGCATAACTTATCCCAACATAACTTATCCCCGTATAAGCCGTATCCAAACTAAACGACCCCTTAAAGAAATAGGAACAAAACGGTAAGAGTTCCAAATCCAAGGGGACACAAGGTTCCCTGCCAAACAAAAATATAAAAAAGAAAACAAATGAAGAAAGCACTAATAACTTGTTTGGCCAAACTTTTTTCTTGGCCAAAAGTACTTTTTTGTCAAAAATACTTTTTTTTAAAAAATAGAAGTGTTTGACCAAGCTTTTTGAATGAAAAAAAGTATTTTTGAGTAGAAACATAAGCAGTTTCTAAGAATCAGAAAAAAGTAGCTTCCGAGAATCACTTTTTTAAAAAGCACTTTTGAAAAAAATACACTTAGAAACACTTTTTAAAAGTTTGATCAAACACTAATTACCGCTCAAAAGTATTTTTCAAATTGATTAGCCAAACACAGGCTGATTTTCGCCGAAAGTACTTTTAAAAAAAATATTTTTGGAAAAAATACTTATCAAAATAAGCATATTTTAGAAGTTTGGCCAAACAGGCTATAAATAAAGCAAATTCAAGTGGTATTTCATTTCAACACATGCATTATATAAAATTGATGTTCTAAATCGGATAACAATTAAATTTGTAACTGATTTTAAGGATACACAGATTAGTTTGATACAAAACAATAAATTGGGTTAGAATGAATAAATAGAAATGCAAAAAATTCAAACCACGCGAGGAGGATGATTCCAGCTTTATTGAAATATTCACCCTCAATCCGGGCTCACGGTGGGCAATATTGATGAATGAAAGAAAAAGCTTAGAATAACAGACAAAATAATAGTATATTGTCTTGGAATGCATGTTACAATGTGTTTAATGAATTATTAGACCCTCTTTTATATAGTAGAAGAATCCTACTCTAAGTACAACTTTATAAAAGGTAAAAAGTCTTCTGTTTAACTGATTGCTGGTTCTACATCGATACGTGCCGAGATTTGCACCATGATATCCGTCCGGTCGTTGATATTACGGCCTTCTATTGGTCGTGCTTGATTGCCCGATAATGTTCTCCGAAGTCTCTTAGTATTTAGATCGATCTCGAATTATGACCCCGATATTCTCGAGGGTAGACAATTAGCCACCGGACACTGATTAGATGAGACCCTTGCTTCGATTCCGATCCTTCACAATCATATTTCAAGCTCGTTTAACCTTGTTGGAGGCCAAAGTGTATCATGAGCTCAGTTTTTTACCCGTATACAAAGTCCCCTCATTTCTCGAAAAGCAAGATGACGAGAAACGACATGAGTATCCCGATTCATTCTTCAATACACCATGACATAAACGATAAAAATCCTGAAAACGTCTCGTCAGTCATGTCATAATGGCATTAAATGCGCGTCAGTCGCCTGTCGGCTATCCCTAGAGGCGAAACGTCGCGAAACCACTATAAATAACCCCCTTTTTATTCATTTTTTCACTTTACATCAAACCATCTACCCTCGTAACCTTAGGATTTCACTACTCCTTTTCACATTCTAGCATTTTTACTTTCATTATTCGAGGTTCCTTTGAAAATTTTACTCATCATCCACTCAAACCAACACATCTGAGCTTCCAACTTTTAACCTTTTCTATCTCCTTGAAGCTTTCCCTTATAACAATGGCAAAAACCTCAAAATCCGTTTCCCAAAAGGTTGCTTCTACCTCCCAAATGACTGCCGGAACCAATAATACTATTTTCGATGTGGTCGACCTCGGGAGATCCGCTGCTAACGTGGTCATCGATGAACCGGCTCCTAAACCTACCTTGAAGATGTTCATTCCTGGGAGTTGTTCGGTTGCTGATGACTTTAAGGTCGCAAAACTCTCCTCGGTGCAGGGTCGGCGTGAGGAGGCATCGAGATTTATTTGCTCGATCACCGAAGACGATCCCCCCTCAGTCTGAAAAGACTGTAACTGGACCGATAAAGACATAGTGCTCCCCGACTCTAAGGAGTCCATTACTACACACGTTGAAGGATACCTAAGTGTCTACACTTATCCCTTTACTCTGGGCCCGGTGGATCCGATCATCATAAACTTCTGCAAGAGGTACGAGGTATGTATCGGCCAAATTCACCCTTTACTGTGGACTAACAATGTCCATTCCCCATTTCATGAACGACTAGGGTGACAAGACCAAATGTAGCGGTTCCCCGAGCTGATGGATCATCGGAGCATACCTCTGACATTCATTGCATTTTCGCACGAACTTCTTTGCGTCTTTTTCCATATCGATCCAGTAGTAGTCGGCTCTAATTATCTTCTGAACCAATCACTCGGTGCCTGAATAGTTCCCGCATGTGCCCTCATGGACTTCCCTTAAAACATACTTGATGTATCCCGGCACTAGACATATAGTGAGTGGGCTACCGAATGCTCTTCTAAATAGGGTACCGTCTTCAGATAAGCTGAACCGGGCCGCCTTCGTATGCAGAGCTCTCGATTATTTAGGATCCGAGGGAAGTTTTTCGGTCTTCAGGTAATCTATGTATTTGTTTCTCTAGTCCCAGGTTAATCTTGTCATAAACAGAATCTTAAGAAGCAGAAAAGCTTTCTGGAAAGAAGTAAGAAGCTGATTGTAATGTTGTAAAGGCCAAAAGGTCAATTTTGAAAAGAGCCAGTGCTTCCTCTTGAACAGAGCTCCTCGCAAAAATTTCAGATCATTGAAGAGGAACAAAAAAAAAATGATAGTTTTCCTACCAAGTACCTACGAATTTGTCTTGGCATGGCCTTCCCCCACTACCGATTTCATGAGTTATACGATCGTTCCCGAGTTGAATTCGTCGTCGTCGATCGACGATCCCAAGTTAGCAATAGTGTCGGTCTCGCTGTTTTGATCCCGAGGTACATGTTATAAAGTCCATTCCCTGAACCGATGTAACGTTACCTGTAGTTTATCATGGTATCTTCGCATTCGTTCCTCTTTGACTTCGAACGTTCCATTGACTTGGTTCACCACAACGAAGGAATCACACTTAGCTTCGACCACCTCAGCCCCAATGTTTTTAACCAGTTCAAGACCTGCAATTATGGCCTCATACTCGGCCTCGTTGTTAGTCAGTTTTACAATTCTAATAGATTGCCTAACTACATTACTCGTCGGTAGTTTTAGTACGATGCCAAGTCCGGACCCCTTTACATTCGAGGCACCGTTCGTAAAGAGAGTCCAGATTTCGGAAGAGGTCCCCGAGTTCAACAACAACTCCTTCTCGACCTCAGGAATTAGGGCCGACGTGAAGTCGGCCACGAAGTCCGCCAAAATATGAGACTCGATAGCGGTTTGGGGTCGATATTCGATGTCGTACCCGCTGATCTCCACGGCCCATGTGGCCAATCGTCCCGAGAGCTCGGGCTTATGCATTATGTTTCTTAAGGGGTAAGTAGTCACAACACATACATGATGGCATTGAAAATACGATTTTAGCTTCCTAGAGGCGCTAGCAAAGCGAGTGCCAATTTTTCTAGGTGAGGATACCTAGTTTCGGCCTCGCCTAGAGTTCTGTTAACATAATAGATAGAAAATTACATACCTTCCTCTTCCCGGACTAGGACTCCACTTACTACTACCTCGGATACAGCTAAGTACAAGTACAACTGTTTATCTGGCTTCGGAGTATAAAGCAAATGTGGGCTTGAGAGGTACCGCTTGAGTTCCTCTAGGGCTTGCTGGCACTCCGGGGTCCATGAGAAGTTCTTCTTCTTCTTCTTCTTCTTTAATAGTGAAAAGAACCGATGGCTCTTGTAAGAGGACCTTGAGATGAATCGACCCAAAGCGGCTATGCGCCCGGTTAACCTTTGAACGGCCTTGACATTATTCACAACGGTTTTGTCATCGATGGCCTTAATCTTATCGGGATTAATCTCGATTCCCTGGTTGGACACCATGAATCCAAGGAATTTCCTATACCTGACTCCGAATGCGCATTTCTCCGAGTTCAGCTTCATATTGTATTTCTTCAATATGTTGAAGGTTTCCTGCAAATGTTTCAAATGGTCCTCTACTCACAGGGGCTTAACCAACATATCGTTAATGTAAACCTCCATTGATTTTCCTATTTGCTCTCCGAACATCCGATTTACTAGACCTTGGTAAGTGACACCGACGATTTTTAGTCCGAATGATATCACGTTATAGCAGTAGGTACCGTATTTGGTGATGAAGGACATTTTTTCCTGATCGTCCGGGTCCATCCGAATTTGGTTGTACCCAAAATAGGCGTCGAGAAAACTGAGGATCTCGTGATCGGCCGTTGCATTGATCATGCAATTGTTGTTTGGTAGAGGGAAAGAGTCCTTGGGGCATGCCTTGTTCAACTCTTTATAGTCTACACAGATTCTTAATTTATTCACCTTTTTAGGGACTACTACTACTAAGTTTGCTAAC